AGAGAGAGAGAGAGAGAGAGAGAGAGAGAGAGAGAGAGAGAGAGAGAGAGATCGAGATCACTATTGGAACTATATTATGGAGCATAGGACCTATTTTAAAGATGATGATAATGATGATGATGATGATGGTGATGCTGATGATGATTCTTATTCATATTCTCCTTCTTCTTAATATCATAATTATCATTATTTCCTTGCAAACTGCTTATACCCTATTATCTTTGTAACGAACGAACACACATATTATACCAGGAGAATTATAAATACAACGATGTCCAGTAAAGATAATTTTCTTAAAATCGCCATAATAAATGTGGCTTTACGTCATTATAAAAACCCACAGAGGATACACGAATCCACCAAACAACCTGCAGTAATTATATAGTTCAATAAATAAATAAAGACCCGGGCGCTATTTTTAGCTCGGGGTCCACAACCCAGAGAGATGCTATCTGTCTGGTTTGTAATGGCTGTTCTGCAGAACCAGACACCTTATTGGCACAACACGCCCGCCGTACTCGTGGCGAGGGAAGGCTATAATATGATAAACTGGCTTTGTGGGCAGATAGAAACCCTCACAAAACAAAAAAGGGGAAAGAAAAAAGAAACACCACAAAACAAAACAAACAAAGCTTCTCGTAAAAGAGACAGGGAAAGCGGAGAAGACGCGATGGACCAATATTATTAAAAAAAGAAATATTATTCGGGGGGATGGAACAGGCGGCAGAGATCGATAACTTTCACATAGCTTGGTAAAGGCGTTGGCTTGGATATATCGTTTTGCCCTTATTGCCATGGGAAGCCACGTAACGTAACACTCGAAAACATTTCAGTAATTACACAGACAGATATAGATACGTACACACTCACTCACTCACTCACTAACACACACACACACACACACACACATACACACACAAACACACACATACACACACACACAGACACACACACTCAGAGACACACTTACTCTTTATATTGAGAACATGGTCTTAACAATCTTTGTACTACAGGTTTATCAGAAGATCTATGCCTATTTTTTTCCTTATTAAGAAACTAAACATCAGTTCTACTCTATTTGTCTACTGTATGACGTTTTTTTAAAATTCGAGCGCGTCTTGAAGTCGCGATTTCTAAACACATTCTTTAATTCAAGTCGTTTGCGAAATGTTAAAAGGGGCTCTAATGCGACTTGAACTGCTAAATCAAAACGTTCGTGAAAACCAAAAAGACCAAAAAGCCAAAGAAAAGAGCCAGCCAAAAATGTGTAACCCAGATTTTATTGTCTACAAGGTTGAGACAAAGATTGTACATAAAAAGATAGTTCACTCCTATAAGCCAATTAAAAAAAGACCTCAAAATTCGGTGGAGCCCTCTTAGAAAAAGTGCGGACTTTGCGATCAAAGTTACCCTACTTGTGTGAAAAACGATAAAAGTGAAACTAACAAACTATGCTAATCCCATTCTTCTCCTGGATAAACGAAAGAGAGCTTCAAAACAAAGACTGCAGCGCCATTTCCGCTTTTTTGGTTGAGTGAACTATCTTGCGATGGACTTCCATTTCTTAATTGACAATAGCAGTTTGTTCTAGTCAGCGTTTTAAGGCACTTGCAACACATTTAGGTCAATTAAGTGCCGAAGATTAGAGGTGTTACAAGAGAGTAACACACACACAGACACACACACACACACACACACACACACACACACAAACACACACACAGACACACACACACACACACACGAAGTAGAGAGAAAAAAAGGATAAATGTTTGAAAGGAAAGAAAAAGCAAACCACGCAAGAGCGCCGTCAACGACCCACTGATAATGGCAGATTAAACTATAGACACCAAATCTTGTAGGACGTTAAAAGTGCAGCCCTAGACAAATTATACATGTATTTGGAAATGTCATTATCGAAGAAAGTGCAGCCTATAAGTACATTCAGTTTGAAACCCAGGGCAAAGCAATATTAACAACACTTGAAGTTCTGGCATCTGAGAAGGAGAGTTGTTTCCAAACTACATGTAAAATACGAAGCCGTCGTGTAATCCATTTCAGATAAGATGCAGCAGTAATTGCTAAGTAATTCAAAATCAGTTGGACAAAATCAAGCGCACTGTCTCTTTCCAACGAGCTCTTCCTGCTTGTTTATAAACAAAATGAACATTTTTATTATGTATTAATGAAATGGCAAGGGTGGGGCGTTAGGAGACCCGATAGGGGCATTATTTCTTATTATAGTTTCTTCTAAAAGTAAAAGAAAATAATATGTCTACAAAGCACGCAACCAGAACAGCAAGACCTCCCGAAAAAAAACACCCAACCCCACATTAAAAAAACAAAACAAAACAAAAAAGAAACCCCCCAAAACCCCAATCAAAAACATGAATTTCCTCCAACCCCCCCCCTC